AAAAAATGAAAAGAAAGTTTTTGTAAATAAGGAGGGGTTGAGGGGGTAAAGAGAGGGTGAGGGAATGGGGAAAAATAAGAACCAAGATATATTACATAAAAGGTGCAAACTCCCAACAATGAATGTCAACATATTGTATATCTAAAATGTTCCAGTAAAATTAAAGAAAAAAAGAGAGGTGAAAATAAGAAGTATTAGAAAGGTTTTAGAGAAACTGGAACCTTTGCACATTGCTTTTCCTGATGTAAAATCTCATAGAATCATTTGAAAAGAATTTTGCTATTAGGTCAAAAGGTTAACTAACCATATAACTCAGCAGCTTCATGGCTGAGTATATACTCAAAAGAACTGAAAAAAATATATCCACACAAGAATTCATACACACTGTTCATCGTTACATTAGTAATAAGGAAAAGCCAAAATACAAATTGCCATTATTTTAGTTCCATTAATCAAATGCCATCTGTTTATACAGTTGGATGTTCCTTGGCAATATAAAGTAGTGAAAGAACAATACCAGGTATAATACGGATGGACTTTGAAAATATGATAAATAAAAGTAGCCAGACACAATGCTCATATATTATATGTTTCCATTTAGATGAAATATCTGAGTAGGTAAATCCATAGACGTTTGAATTAGATTAGTAGTTATATGTGATTGGGGAGATAGCGGAAATGGGAGTACAATACTGATGGATTTGTACTTTCTTTTGGGGATATAAAAATATTTTGCAAGTAGGAAAAGGGTGATGGTTACACAAGTCTGAATATACCAAGACCACTGAGTTTTTCATTTTAGAATGTTACATTTTGTCATATGTAAATTATATCTTCATTTAAAAAATGATATGACCTTTCCAGTAAAACTCACTTTGATACATCTTTAATATTGTTGAATTTGGATTTTTAAAAAATGACAATTCCAGACTAATTTCAAAAGCTAGGTCCTGGTAATTGTCACTTCTGCCTACTTATAGTGATCTATTCAGATGATATTTAGTAATCCAATCATCAGTTACTTCTGCCTCAGGAGGTGTAGGCTGTGTGGCAGTGGAAAGACATGAACTCTGGCAGCAGGATTTGGTCTGGATTTGAAGCCTACTCTACCGCTTACTTACTGTGTGACCTTGAGCAAAGTTGCTTTGTCTCTGTGCTCCTTCATTTTTTTCTTCTCAAATAAAGGATAATAACCTAATAAAGTTGCTCTGAGTATTAAGACTTCAGGCAGCTGCTTGGAACATTTATAGTTCAGGAGATTCATCTTTTCATTTAAATATTTTAATATGAACTTTCCCCAATTCCTTTAGATTGCAAACTGATTTTAATCAGAAAAATATCAGAAGAAGAACAGCAGCACCACCACCACCAACGACAACAGCATTCACAACGTCATCATCATCTCTCTGACTTCTTTTGTAGCTTACTGGGACTCTATTATCATTTCAATTGTTTTACTATTTATTCTTTTTGAGTATGGTATTTATTATTTCTATTCCAAAATTGAACTTTGAATGAATTCACAGTGTTTGAAAGATGTCCCTGTGTATATGCAATTCTTTAATTTTTAGAAGAAAGAAATGCTCTCGTTTTATGTTCTATACTGACCCTGAATGTAGTTTCCTTTATTCTAAGAACTCTGCGTTAGTTGTTCATTTCTTTTAGGAAGGCAAATCTGTTAAGAGTTTTAAAGTTAAGGCAGTCTTTTTGGACATAAGGAAGAAGATCATGGGAAGGGGGATTTTAGGAGAGTGGAGGAGGAACGGATCAAAATAATCAAGCTGTCACATATACATGTACTAATTCCTCAGAATGAACATTGCCAGTATGTATTACAAACATACGCTAATATAAAAAAGTTTTTTGCTTAAAATTAATTTGGGCACATTTGTTTTTCCAAGCTTTTCATATGCTTTCTGTGATTCAGATACCATTTAAGAATATACTTCATGCTTCTGGTAGAAAGTTGGGGAATTTGAAGGAACACTAAAGCTTAATTTGTGTATGTGTGTGTAAAAATTGAAGTCTAGGGGAGAAAAGTGATTTTCCTAGTCACCCTGCCAGTAAGTGGTAGAATTGCCTTTTTGAAGGGTAAAGCATTGGGAAGTGGGAGAAGGGATAATGTTTATTATCTACAATGTATTGACAGTCATTATTTACCATCTATCTTAGTTCTTATCACAACACTTTTAGAGGTAATGATCATGGCTATTTTACAAGTGAAACAGCTGAAGTTCCAAAGGAGTCTATCATTTATCCAGTCACAAGGCAAGAAAGGGATACAGTAAGGTTGCCAATCCAGATCTGCTTCTCACTAAAATTATGCCACTTCTCTCTCTGTGCTGTCTCCTAAACTAGAATCCTTATCATCTAATGCACTCGATATTTTTCTTTCTGAGACCCTTGGTGTCTTTCTTATTTTTCATTCTCCAGATTATTCATCAGATACCTGTGTAAAACTAGAATACAGGGAGCAGGATTTAGGTTTAGTATTAAGGAAAGAGTTTTAAGCAGAGACGTCCTAAAAGTATGCAATCACCTACATTGGGATAGAGCAGTGGTAGCCAATGTATGGCATACATGTTATTTGTTTATTTATTTTTAAGACCAACGATGTTAATGTGTGAGCTGTTTCTTCTTTACTAAAAAGCTCAGTATTTAATTTTTATTGCAGCATTTGCAGTTTGCACTAAATAAGTGGGTTTTAGGTTTCTGTTTGGTTACTCATGTTCAAAGGTTTGCCATTACTGGAATAGAGTAAGTTCTCTGTCCTTTCCTGTAATTGACAGTCTGGGACAGACTGAGACTATAGGGTTTTCTGGAATGTGGAGGTCTCACTTTTCAAACTGAGACAGCCCTAGGCTCACTAATTCAAATTGATTGCTACTACTGTCGCTACGGTTGTGTGATCAGGGCTGGATGGCTGTGAATGGCACATGTTGCTCCAGGATTTGAGGCATTATATGGTTTGAAACACTGTATGACCTACCTCTTATTGTAGTAGAAGGTATTTACCTTTTATTTCACTTTTTTCAACCAAATGTATAAATTCTGACAAAATTGGGCCAGGGCAGATGAGTAAATATAATGATAAAGCCAAAAACAAACAATAGGATAGCTATGTCTTACTCTCTGTACCATGAGAACATAGTTTTATTTTCACTGTCATTTTGTTTTGTATATTCATTAAATTTTGTTTCAATATCATACCATATTCCCATACTATACTCAGCTATATTTCCTGACTCAACATCTGCGTTTCCTCTTAAACGTCCATAATTGTTTTGTGTCTGGCCAGTCAAGCTTCTGACCCTTAGCAAGTTGTGTGATATTGTGATGTCATAAGAAGTCCATATCTGGTCTTTATCCCTGGTTCCTGACTCAGAGTCTCTATATCCTTTCTTGAGTGCTAGAGGTGAATGAAATGTCTTGCTATTCATATCAACTCCCCCACACCCACCATACATGAGTTGATGTTAATGAGGTGACTTTTGGAGTATGGAGGCTGCTTGCTGAAGGAACCAATCTCCTGGCTAGAGATTTGGGTTTTTTAGCCTTACTCTTCAACCTCTAGAGAGGTAGGTTGATGACATCAACTTATTCACCAATATCCAATGATTTAATCAATCAAATCTACATAATAAAACCTCCATAAAAGTCACTAAACAATGAGCTTTTGGGAGCTTCCAGATTGGTGAACATATGGAAGTGCACATTGGTGAACACATGTAAAGAGGGCCTGGAAATTGTACACCTTCCCACATACCTTGCCCTTTGCATTTCTTTCAGCTGGTGTCTCCTGAGTTGTATCTTTCATAATGTAAACATTTTCCAGTAAATAAATTATTTTGCTGAGTTCTGTAAACCATTCTAGGAAATCATCAAGGTTGAGAAGGGGTTTATGGAAACCTTTAATTTGGTTATAATGTACATATCAAATGCAGGACTTATGATTGATGTCAGAAGTCTGGGTTAATTTTGTGGTACTGGGCCCTGTACTCATGGAGCCTGGACTAATCCGGGGTGGTTAGTATCATAATTAAATTTTAGGACCATTTGGTTTCTGAAAGAGTTGGAAAATTGCTTAATATTAGAGAAATCCCTGCACATTTGGTATTAGAAGTTTTGTGAGTACAGAGAAACAGTTGAGTGTTTTCCTATAGGTGAATGTGAGTGAAATTGGTCTGGGGAAGGTATTTTTTAAGCTCTACATTTGATAGTGATTCTTATGTGCCAGGATTGAGAACAACTGCTTTGGACTCAACAAGGAAAAGAACTAACATTTATTGAACAGTTACCATGTATGTTGGGAGCTCTACCTGTATTATCTTAACTATCAAAGCAAACCTATGAGATAGGAATTAAATCTAGGGATGGAAAATGAATCTCAGGAAAGTTGAGTAACTCGTGTAAGGTCACATAGCTAGTAATTCAGATGTGTTTTTTACTATAACACAATGCTTCTAAAATCAAGAGAAATGGCACAGAACTTTATAAAAATCTGTTCACAGTGCATAGTTCATTGCATTTTTATAACAACTCTGAAATGAGTTAATTTAATTTTATGGATGAGTAAATTAAAGCAGGAAAAGTTTAAAAATATATATTTGTCTAGTTTGGTTAGTAGTGGAGCAGGAGCCCAAACTCAAGTTTTGCAATTCTAGAGCTACCATTCTTTACACAGCAAATCCACTGCCCCTCCCTTATTCATTTTGTTTTCTATGGAATGAGAGAAGTTCTAGGTACTCCTGATGGTGTTTCAGAATTATGTAAAATATCCTTTATGGAAAAGCTCTTAAATGGGGATTAGTAAAAAAAGAAAAAGAGCAAAAGCATTCAACAGGCACCAAACACATTCTGCTGCTAGCCTTATCTTAATGCTTTCCTCTAGGGACCATGTGAGCTTGAGGCACTGGTCCCTAATTTATGTTGGGCAGATCCCTGTCCGCTTGTCTAATCAACTCCATAATTGTTTTTTATCATTTATTCTCTCCTACCAGCTGAATCCTTCAAAGAGTTTGCTGAGTTGCTCAATGAAGTAGAAAATGAGAGGATGATGATGGTAAGTCACTTATATTGTGTCTGGAGCTGAGATCATGGCTTATGTTGAATTTTTTTTTTTTTTTGGTCTTCATTTGTTGGATTGATCTGCTGTTTTCAGGTTTTGTCTTATGGCTTCTTGGTGTTGTAAAAGTAGTTAATTCAGCCCAGCATGGTGTCGCAGAGCACTATGGGAGGCTGAGACAGGATGATCCCAAGTTTGAGACCAGCCTGGCCAATTTAACAATTTAGTGAGATCCTGTCTCTAAATAAATAATAAAGATAGCCAAGTGCCCTGGGTTCTATCCCTAATTCTGAAAAACAACAAAAATATCAAAAATAAACAAGAACAAAGTTAACCAGTAGATCTGATTATCCTATTTCAAACTCCTACCCTGAGAATTTGGCATTAGTAGAGGGAAAAATAATGTGGAAATCCCATCCCTATATGAGAAAGGATTTCAGAGAACTTTAGACTAGACTTTTGAAGATGTTCACAAAAGTTGTGGCCTTCAGTGTTTTTTTTTTAATTTTTCAATTTTATTAATACATTTTTGCAGTTTATGAAGTTTAAAATCATCATGGCAAGTGATCAAATGTACATTCCATAGCTTCTTTTTTAAAATCCCCTTCTCTCCCACTACTTTTCTTCTCCTTGATTTTGCCTACCCCCTTTTTCATTCTTGTTAATATTATTAATCTTAGCTTGTATTATGGCATGTAATATTTACATTAATTGAGGTTATTAATTTCCTGTACATAGCATATCTTTATTCTACTTATTTCCCCATATCCTCCTCCTTATGACTTGCACTTTTTCCCTTGAACTACTTCCCTATAGCAAAAGATCCATCCCTTTTCCCCCTTGTATCCATCCTTTGTTTTTCTCTTTGTACTTTGCCTCACTCAAATGAGAGATATCATATGGTACTGAAACTCAAAAGTCTGGTTTATTTCACTCAGCATTATATTTTCCAGGTGTATCCACTTTCCTACAAATGTACCAAATCTATCATTCTGCATAGTAGAGTACTAATACATTATATGTAGATACCACATTTTTTAATCCAGTCATCTGTAGGTGGGTATACAGGCTAATTCCAGGATTTAGCTATTAGTTGTTCTGCTATAAGCATTGCTATAAACAATGAAAGTTGTACTGCTATAAACATTGATACACAAGTATTTTTGTAGTTCAATGCCTTAAACTCTTTGGCGAATATACTTAGCAGGGAATAACTGGGTTATATGGAATTTCTGATTTCAGTTCTTTGACAAATCTCCATACTTATTTCCCTAATTGTTGTAATAGTTTACATTCCCACCAATAATGATGGAGGGTTCCTTTTCACCACAGGAATGCCGCATTTGTTATTGTTTGATTACCTAATGATTACCATTAGTTTTGGAGTAAGATTGAATCCTAGTGTTGTTTTACTTTGCATTTCTCTATTGAACAGATATGTTGAACATTTTTTCATGTATTTGTTGACCATTTGTCTTTCTTTGTGAAGTGTCTTTTCATTTCTCTTTTACATTTCTTGACTGGATTTTTAATATTAGGTGGTTTAATTTTTTTTTAGTTATTTTTATATTCCAGCTAGTAGTCTTCTGTCTGAGGACTAGTTGGCAAAATTTTATTCCCATTCTTATGTTGTCTCTTCACTCCACTGATTGGCTCTTTTGCTGTCCAGAAACTTTAGTTTGATACAATCCTAGTTGATGATTCTTGGTGTTAATTTGTGTACAGTTGAGGTTCTATTTAGGAAATTCTTTCCTACACCTTTATCTTTAAGTGTTTTACCTATTTTATCTTCCAGTGGGTTATAAATGTTTCTGTTTTAAAGTTTGGATGTTTGATCCATTTTTATTTTAATTTACTATATGGTGAGAGATACGAGTCCAATTTCAATCGTCTGCACACAGGTAAATGGTTTTCCTAGCATCACTCATTGAATAAGCTGTCTTGCCAACATACACTTTTGTTGAAGATCAAATAGCTGAATGGATTAAGGAAGTTTCTGTGTCTGTAGTTCTGCTTCATTGACCCATTTATCTGTTTTAGTTCTAGTACCATGACATTTTTGTCACTATTGCTTTGTAGTATAGCTTGAGGTTAGGTATTGCTATTCCTTCTGCTTTGCTCTTGTTGCCCAAAATTATTTTCACTACTCTGGGTCTCTTCTGTTTCTTATGAATTTTAGAATTGTTCTTTTCTAGATCTGTAAAGTATGCTATTTGGATTTTTATTGGAATTGAATTAACTCCGTGTAACAGTTTTGGGGATATAGCCATTTTCTCAATATCGATTCTATCTATCCAGGAACAGGGGAAATCTTTCTTTTTATTTATTTATTTATTTGTTTGTTTGTTTGTTTTTTGAGACAGGGTCTCACTGTGTAGTTGAACAGGGACATCTGTTTATTTATTTATTTATTTATTGATTGATTGATTGATTGTCTTTTTGAGACAGGGTCTCACTGTGTAGTTGAGACTGACCTGGATATTGATTCTGTCTGTTCAGGAACAGGGGACATCTTTCTATTTATTTATTTATTGGTTTTTTGAGACAGGGTCTCACTGTGTAGTTGAGTGACCTGGATATTGATTCTGTCTATCCAGGAACAGGGGACATCTTTCTATTTATTTATTTATTGGTTTTTTGAGACAGGGTCTCACTGTGTAGTTGAGACTGACCTGGAACTCATTATGTAGACCAGGCTGGTCTTGAACTCACAGTGATCTCCTGCCACGGCCTCCAAGTGCTGGGATTAAAGGTGTGGGCCACCATGCCTGGCTATCTTTTTATTTTCTGAAGTCCTCTTCAGTCTCCCTTTTAAGTGTACTGTAGGTTTTTTTTTTTTTTTTTTTTTTGGTGGAGGTCTTTCACTTCCTTGATTACGATAATTCCTATGTATTTCATTTTGCTTGAAGCTATTGTGAATGTTAGTACTTTCATAATTTCCTTCTCATCTCATTCTTTGCCATGTACACAGATCTTAATTAATTTTGTTTGTTGTCCTTATATCCTTCTACATGGCTGAAGTTTGTTATTAATTGTAAAAGTTTTTTTTCCTGTACCAGGAATTGAACTTAGGACCTTGCTTGTGAGAGGCAGGTATGGGACCACTGAGCTAAATCCCTAGCCCCATAAAAGTTTTTTTGGTTGCGTTCTTTGGGTCTTCTATGTAGAGTATCATGTCATCTGCAAGTAACGATAATTTGTGTTTATCCTTTATATATCTATTGTATTTCTTTCTCTTGTCTAAGTGCTTTGGCAAATGCTTCAACTACTATGTTGTGTTGAACAGAAGATTCTGGGCATCCTACTCTTGTTCTTGATTTTATGGGGAATGCTTTTAGCTTTTCCCCATTTAGTATGATGCTGGCTAGTGGTTTGTCATGTATGGTATTTTTTATCATACTATCGTAGTATTTTAGTATGGTTCTTCCATACCTGTTTTCCTTAGTTTTTTCTTTCATGAAAGGATGTTGAATTTTAGCAGAGAACTTTTCTGCATCTTTTGTATTGATCGTATAGTTTTTTACCTTGATTCTGTTTATGTGATATATTATGTTTATTGACTTACATATATTGAACCATCCTTGTTTCTCTGTGATGAAACCTATTTAATTATGATGTATATTGTTTTTGCTCATATCTGGTGGAAACTTTTTTGCATTTATGTTTGTTTTGGAGATTGGCCTATAGTTTTCTTTTTTAGTTGCATCTTTATCTGGTTTTGGGATCAGGGTGATACTGGCTTATATAAATGAGTTTGAGAGCACTCCATCCCTTTCAGTTTCTATGAAGAGCTTTAGGCATATTGGTAATGTAACATCCATAAAAGTTTTGTAAAATTCATCAGACTCTATGAGGTCCAGGGCTTTTTAGTTGGTAGATTCCTTTCACTGTGTCAATTTTATGGCTTGTTAAGCATATGTCTGTCTTCTTGGGTTATTTTTGATAGGTTTTGAATGTCTAGGAGTCTGTCCATTTCTTAAAAAATTGCTCATTTGTTGAAATACAATTTTTTGAAGTAGTAACAATTTTCTGGATTTCTACACTGTCTGTTTTTATTTTACCTTTTTCATTTCTAATTGAATTGGTGTGAGTCTTTTCCCACTTTCTTTTAGTATTGCTATGGGCTTCTCTATTTTATTTATTCTTTGCAAGAACAACCTCTTCAATCTGTTGGTTTTTTTAAAAAACTTTTTTGTTTTGGTCTCAATTTCATTGATTTCTACTCTGTTCTTTATAACTTCTCTCCTTAATGGCAATTTGGAGATGGTTTGTTGTTGTTTTTAAAGAATCTTTAGATTTCTCATAAAGTTGTCTAAGTTTGCTCTGTTCTCCTAATGTGAGCATTGATTGTGAAGAATCTTACTCTTATCATTGCTTTCATAGTGTCCCAGACATTTCAACAAGTTGTCCTGTTGTCATTAACTTCCCAAACAAATCCACAAAAGTAATATCCTAATAAACACTGGAAACATAAAAAAATAAGACAATGCCATATTACTAAATAAATGAAGAAACATAGAAAAACTTAAACCTATGAGAGGTCCAAAGAGAACAGATTAAGTACTCCAATGAGACATTGCATATGTGTTTCCTAAGTAGCTTCTTTGCCAGAGTCTGAGGGCACACACCCCAGTAAGTCCTCTGATCTCTCTACCACAATAGTGAAGTTAACTCAGTTTCAGGACTCCTTTCTGCTAGGTTGCAGGCACTCTTGCAGAGTCTGATTCAGTCTGTGTACTTGGGTTAGGAATTCTTGCTGTTGTTCTCTTTGGGAGTAATTGTGGATTGGCAGACAATTTCGCTGGTACAAAATTGTCCCCATGAGTCAGGACTATTTTTAAGCAATCTAATCACCTACAGTAGTAATATGTTAATCCATTACAGTTGTATCTGTCTGGATAGTTGAAAAATAACATACCACTATTTTTGAGACACTATTTTGGGTTTCCTTTTAGCTTTAGAGAAGAAATCTATGGTTATACTGTAAGCATCATATC